TTTCCTAAACTTTCGGAAGTACCTCGGGCCAAAAACAGAAAATCTTCTGGGTTATCGAGTGTGCTGAATACGAAAAACCACTTTTCAGCAACTCTAAACCAACTTTATTTTTTTTCCGGTGATATGTTTTACAGAACTATTTATAGGCTACATAACCTCTTACAAGACCTTCCTACAGTGAAGATTCTTTAACTTGCCCAGAGTTCATTTGTAGTCAGTGACTTGAGATAAATAAATCGAATTATCTCTCCGAGATACCGACTGGCGTTAAACGGTCACACTCACTGCACTATATAAACTTTTAGATTTAGGAATTCTACAAGTCCGGTGAAGCATGTAGTTATGTATACTTTCCATATGGGACACTTTAAAAAACAATAAGACTTCGATTTATTTATTTTTTGGAATTTTATCTTCCTGACAATCTAAAATATTTCACGGCTATTTCAATTTCTCTTCATTCAATCAAATCAGCGCATAAAACTTACTAGTGTTAAACAACATTAAACACATTTTTTTTCAAATTTATCGTATTAAAATGCAATAAATAGTGAAAAAAGTTTCAAGGATCAGATAATTAAAAAACTTGTAGCGGTGAGACTGAAATATTTATTGCGAGTCCAAAGTAACAAATTTCTTTTTCCTTACTCAGCGTCCATATGAGTCACACGCTTGTTTTATCGAAGACCTAGACTTATTCATCTTTCGAACATCCAAAAATTGATATAAAGTAGCCGCTAAAACTCAAAATTTCTGTGTATCGTCAAACCTTTGAGCTCTATCCGAATTTAAATACTTATTGAACACTTATTGTTCTTTTTATTACTCTTTTTGTGTTGTCTGGCTTGAGTCATTGTTATTATAGGTCGGTGACCTTTAATGACTCTCATTTTTCGTCAATAAAACAGTCTTAGTTTTAGTCTTAAGTCGATATCTGGATGTTCGAAAAATGAATAAACTTAAGCCGAAAGCGTGTTCTCGAGATGATAAATGCGTCTTTGATACAACATATAAAATTCTATATACCTACAATATTCTGATCTTTTGAATAATCTCATTCATCATGTTTTTGTTATTTTAGCGGGTTTCAGTAAAAGTACTTTTTTCAGCTACTTTTGAGGGTGAACAACCCATTGCTTCCTTTATCTCCAAATAATAGATTCAAGGAGCCAGGATGAATGCGAACTGACATATGGACAGTCTCTCCTTGGCGCTACTATCGGAGCCTAAAAGAAAACACTTTTTTCCTTTTCTATTCGAGCTGGGGCTTTTCAGTTACTTTCAGAGAACTATTCTATTGGCTTTACTCCTCGTCTAATCAAACTATTCATATTGCATCTGCGGAACAGCGCACTTATGCATTGTAGATTCTTTTTGCAGAGTATCTAGTTATATTAGTAAAGTTTATTCTAAAATGCCATAGCTGATTAATCCCAGCAGATCTTGCAGTCATCTGTACGATGGTTTCTTGTCGTAGTGCTATTGGGCTTTGTGCCATTGTAAGTGAACTCTCTCTCTCTTTCTTTCTGTCAGCATAGGAAATATAGGGAATAAGAAATAAAAAAAAGATGTTTTAAGTTAAGTAATCAGTAAAAAACTGTGAAGGATCCACATATTTGATATTGATGGTTTTGCTTTTCAAGAATATATAAACAATTTTATTCTCCTAAACAAAGTGCAAGTTTCCTTTGCCGAGTAAGGACCGAGTCTCGACCGAAGAAAACAATTCTGTTTTGTTTCGTGGATGTACGCATAATTCGTTTCTTAGCCACCTCACCAGCTCTAATGCCGTCTTTAGATATTGCGTTTTGTTATGCGCAGCTGCTATTAAAAATCCAAAAATTATATAATTATGTTGTATTTATTGCTTGAATAAAATGAGAAAAGTTACTAGTACGGACTAAGTTATGGTATACTGATTTGAAAATTACATTTTAATTTGACTTTTTGTTCAGATCGTTCGGAGAACTAAAACATGAGTTTAAATAGTCACATTGAATCAAATAATGATTCATCGTATACAGTGACTTTAAAATTGTAAAATATTTTGATACTCTTTCGATAAACTGAAAGCTTTGGAGAAATATCAGCAACTGAAAAAAGTAATTCGTTGTAGACTATGACAAATGGAACAAAAGAAATTAGAAAGTTTCGGTTAAAAACTTACATAGACCGTTAAACCATAATAATGATCAAATATGATTTGTCATTTGACTATCATTGTTCTCATGAATATTTGGTTATTACTAAACATTTTATGTTTTACTAACTAAATAGATTTCTGACGTTGTTTTGTATTAACTAAACTAATTTTATTATAGATTTGTCTAGTACTAATAAATCTTAAGTTTTAGTAAAGAACGTTGTTTGTCCTCAATAATGAAATGATAGACTATTAGTTGTCTATTATCTGCTGATAAATAATACACAATGATTATCAACCATCCAAATTTAGTTGAAGGCTTATCGTTATTAGCCTGGCGACTTCAACGCGATGATGAGTTAGAAAGTAAGCATTGGTTATGAAACTTGTGATTATTCTGATGTAAAATGCACAAGTTTATCAAAAGTCATTGCATTCTTCATTCAATAAGTTAAGTGAAAATTGTCGTTTTTCAATAAAAATCTAGTTTCAATTTAATGCATCGCTTTATCAATGACTTTAAGAAAGTTATTGATGCAATAATTCCCTTGCTTGCTTTACATTCTAGGTCGCAAGACAACAACAAATTTTCATTGTGAACTAGAAACAACACCAACAAGTTATGCAGCATTCGATTATTACAATCGTGAAACCGATCATGTTGATTTATGTTGCGAAGTTAACGAGGAAGATTATGACCCATATGAAGTATTCTTACGTATTAACACTAGGCGTACAAGTGGTGGACAAAGGACATCGCTGACTTCTCATACATCTACCGGTAGCGGAAATTTTCGAAATTATAATTATGCTGATGATGATACACCTGTGAAATACCCGTTTGCCATTGGCTATGTTGATCGTCGAACGAAAACGAATGTAGGTTTCGTTTATATTAATAAAACAAGCCTTCTTTTCGGCTCATTAGCAGGTAGAAGACAGCTATTCTTCTGAATATGACTATACACAGTGATGGGCTTTTTTCCTTTTATTCGAAAAACTTTAAACTTCAACAAATTATAGAACAGAATGTTATACTGGCATATATTTTAGACTGCTGCAAAACAATCGTTCAAGAATCGCGGTGGACAATCGTATGATGATGATTTATCTACATTAAATGATGATTTTAAACGATCATATCCTTTCTCTAGAAACGATAACACAATTAGACGTGCTCAGAATCAACCTTTCTCACAATCAGCACCAAGACCTTTTGTGCGTGATGCCTACCGTGGTTTTCGCGGTACAAGAGGCGGCCGTCCACCAGGTTATCGTAATGATTATCACTCAGCGTCAAAACGTGTCACATTTGCCGATTATTCTGACGACGAAGACGAGGAAGAAGAAAGTTTTGATGTTCCATTGACGAGACGTAAACCATCAATGCGTTCATCTGCACTAACAGCTGTTCAACGTTTTCGTTCGATGAAAAATGCGTATGATGAGGATGATGAAGACATTGCACCAACCGTTCAAGAAATGGATATGTTAGATTATGATGATATTGATCGAACAACTTCACAACGAAAACCAGACAATGAAACAAAACCAACCGATGGAAATTATAAAAATAATCATTTAAAATCGTCATCATATATTGGAAATATGTTACCGAGCTTTTATGATCAATTATCTGAGTCGAAAAGGATGCTTTTACAAGATGCAACGATTGATTCGTCTTCCTCGGCATTATCTTCTGTAACCACGCTTAATTCACAAATAACTACAAAAACGAATGAAAATCTACCTCCTGATGATTTAACGAAACTTGATGAACAAACAACGACCTCACCTGAAAAAGCAACATTGGATAGAGCAGAAAAAGAAAAAACAACGGTAGAAAACTTTACTTAAAATTTACTTTTTTCTACTTTTTGTGTATTTTTGTTGTATGTGTTGAAAGAGTTGTAGGTATGCATACCTAGAAAAAAACTAGCCAGCTTTGGGAATGATCAAAAGATGAGCTTTTGAAAAATTATGCATTTATTTTAGAATGAAGGCTTAAGTGACACTCAACGACATGAAAATGTATTCATAACCGAACAAGTTGAGGGACCGGGTGGTGAAGAAGTAATCGAAGAAGAAACACGTGTACAATTTCGTACACGTCCAACAAAACCAACTCCTACAGTGAAGAAACAAAAGAATGATGAAAGTGAATCGAGACTTGACAATGAACCGACAACAGATCGTTATCGCAACGGAAAAAATTGGCAAAAAGATGAGGAAATTGATGAACGATACAGCAATTCTCGTGGCAGATATTATAATCCAGATAACAGACCTATTCGTGATGTACATCGACAACGCGTCAACAGATTTGATGTAGAACGAGATGAAGATGAGACCTATTCGTCACCATATCGGCGAGGTGCTGGTAGCAGTCCGATAGCAGCGCGTCAACGATATGAAGAGCCAGTCACTAATAGAAGACGACCATATCCGGATGAGGAGAATACTGATGATTATCCACCGAATAAACGTTTACGTCCGAACGATCCACATTACTATAGTCAATCTCAGCAACAAGTTAAGAATCGTTATTCAACATCACCAACCGATAATCAACGGCAAAAATATGGACAAGCTCAAAGATTTCGTTCACAAACTGGACAACAACATGACTACGATGATAATGATGATGATGATGACATGGGAATGCAATCTGGTAGAGTAAATCTTGGAAAAGGGTAAGTAACATCAAGGATTAAATTTTGTTTGTAAAAGTATATTTCGATCGATCTTTTGCATGACGATGCTCATATTTTATTTCAGATCTTATGGAAGACAATCTTATCGGGAACCATCGTATGATCGTGAATACGTAAAGAGGAATGATCGTTTATTACTAGACTTTGAAGAACAAAACGGTTTAAAAATGGGAGAAATAAGAGTCTTTACGCCAAAATTACGTTTACGTATATCAAATGTTAATGTGAATTGGATTAATATTCCTCCTGTGCCTAAATTACCAAATAAAGTTCGTTATCCATAATCTAGGGTGAACAATTTTTTACTTCTATTTGAAAATGAAACATTCGTCATCCATCGAGATCATAGACCGTTAGAGACAATTCAATTAAATATGAATGAGAATGTCATTAAGATTAAGACATGTCTATTGTATATTTGTTTTTTTATTAATGTTAGTCTTTTATTTTCAATGTTTGAGAAAAGCGACTTTTGACTCTTTATCATACAGATTACTTTAAGCTATTTTCTTTTGTATATTTTCTACTTTAAAAGTTAGCTATCTGTTATTCTATAGAATGTGTACGTTGTGCCTAAAATAAGCATGTTCACACTGTCGATTGTTTTTATTATGTCTTTTGCCTATGTAAATAAATTGATGGGAACTTTTTCTTTCATTTAGTCATTTTTACGGTAGATTTGATCTATTATTGAAGCTGTAGTAACTGTAAAGTTTACACAATTTGAAAAGAGCGATTTCACTTCAGCGTACGTTTGAGAGAGAATGCATGTTTGGAGTCATTCGGTAAAAGTTGAAAGTATCAAATAAAGTGTAAAACTATCGTATGATGTATGCATTTTAGCTAGAACACGAATAACTGATTTTCTTTCGAAGGGAGACACAAGTTGATCACTAGAAATCATCTAGTTTTCAAATTCTGCTTATTTTTGGACTTTTTTTGTATTGATTGTACAATGGTTTATTTTAGATTTAACATCATTTATCTACTGTTGAAATAATCTTGCAAAGATGTTTATGACAAGATCTGAATATGATCGTGGTGTAAATACATTTTCACCCGAAGGTCGTCTGTTTCAGGTTGAATATGCTATTGAGGCTATTAAGTTTGGTACAACGGCTATCGGTATTATGACTCAAGAAGGTAAAAAAAGAAAATCTTGTACAACTTTCATTTTTAGTTAGTATTTATTTTTTGAAGGTGTTGTATTGGCAACAGAAAAACGTATTACATCAGTTCTTGTTGAACCGCGTAGTATTGAAAAAATTGTTGAAGTTGATAGTTAGTATGTATACATTATGTATGATTTATTAAATGAATTTTTAGCCTTGATTTTATTTTAGTTGTGGTTGTGCAATGTCGGGATTAATAGCAGATGCAAAAACATTAATTGACAAAGCTCGTGTCGAAGCTCAGAATCATTGGTTTACACATAATGAACGTATGTCAATTGAATCAATAACACAATCTGTTTCAAATATGGCATTAGCATTCAGTGATGATTCAGATGAAGTAGCTCCGATATCAAGACCATTTGGTGTTGCGTTATTATTTGCTGGTTGGGATAAGGAAAGTGGACCACATAATGGACCACATTTATTTCATTTGGATCCATCTGGTACATATACAGAGTATGATGCTAAAGCAATTGGTTCAGGTTCAGAGGGTGCCGATCAAACATTACAAGATGTTTATCACAAATCGATGAAATTACAAGAAGCATGTAAACATGTTCTAACTATATTGAAGCAAGTTATGGAAGAGAAATTGAATGCCACCAATGTTGAAATGGCGACTGTCGATCAAAATGGTTATAGATTATTTAAAAAAGAAGAAATTGATGATATTATTAAACAAATGTAAACATTAATTTAGCAAATAACATCAATTATGAAGTTTTTAATCAAGATAAGTCAGTTGAACTGAAGATATATTTAACATCAAGAGATTGAGATCATTAATTGCTTTTTTTTTTCTACTGTTTTGTCTGTTTTTTATTTGTTACTTCTAAAATATATCCTGAACAAACAAAAAAATATTCCGATGAAACATAGTTGACACATAAGTATCATAGTATACGCATATCCAGAGATAACAGATTAAGATGATTCAACACATCTAGTTTGAAGATAAATATTTGTTTCAAAACATCGGTGTTCGTTATTAGTTAAATCATCGTTTTGCCTTGTACCAATTCCGTGTACAAAAATAAAATTTGTACTTTATAGTCAATTACAGGCCATTACATCTTTTTTTTTACTATTATCTCATTTACATATTCGAATATCAAAGCATTTAGAATATGCGGTCTTATAAACTTATGAAAATTAATGAAGGATATTCCGACAGAAAGAATGATCGCTTTATCAAACTTTATATTATTCTCAATAATTGATTTTTAGCATCGATAAAAATTGTTAATTTATAATTAATCTTGTCATTTGGTAAATATTTTCATAAGAGTAATAATTAGTCGGCGTTACAATTTCGCATTTCAAAGATATGTTTACTTTACTTTTAAAGTTTTTGGAGTTTTTACTTGTTTTAGACGTACACGACTAGTCAGAAGTACAAACGTACTTAAATAAATTTAGGTATGTAAATTTGCAGTGAAAGCTAACTTACACAAAATCTGCCGGTTAGGACGTGAGTGGATATCATTCATTCCATTTGTATGCATTTTCAAAAATTGTACATATACACTCGTTCGGTAGCAGATTGAAGAAAAATATCACGAATAAACACGTAAATTATGAAAATACATGATCTCGTCAAGAAATTTACATGTACAGATTTATTATTCACTCAATTAGACGCATTTCTAAAAATATTAATAGGATTACCATTGGTATTTGATCCATTTTGGCACTTTTTGTATGTGCGAAGCTACTTACAGTCAACTCTATATTCGTAAAAATGAGTATTAGGACTATTACTGTTGCAGAGAAACATCTATTAACATGCTGACATCTTTAAATACACAGAAAATTGGAACAAATAAATATGACCTGCATTTTCAATCTTTTTTCCTGTTGAGATTTTATTTCAATGATAAGTAACCTACTGCGAGAAAGTCTTGGCACAAAATGTTCGTTCATTTTCAGAATACCTATTAGCAACTATTGAGAGTCAAAAGTCGTCAGTTAGAAGCAGACTTTTATGCTCGTTCCGAATATATATTCAGATTTTTTTTCCAATTTACTGTTGATTAACTGTGAGTAAATGTTTGAAAGAGCCAAAAATGAAGTCTGTACAGAATATTTTTGGTCTATTTTTGTATTTTCATTAAAATTTGCTTAACTCAAAACATGGGACATCCTTTAATACAGCATTTTTGTAGAGCAAAGTTGGCTCTACAAAACTGCTTTCTCTACTTTTCTTTTTCTTTCTGGCAAAAATGTTTCAAATTTATTGATTCTAAAAGGCAGCTTTTGAAAAATTGATTTTTTCACATATTGCCGTTTTTACGTAGAAAGTAGCTCTCAGAAAAAGTTCTATAACTTTTGATTCTCTCTTAAGTTGTAAGCCGCTGTAATACCTCATTTTGTAGAAAATTAAATGCTTCAAAATAATACCGATTTCAGACTGCCTCGAAATATAACCTACACAAGCTACAGATTACACAAAAACTCCTATTTTTCTGTGTGCAGACGTCATTTTTGGCTCTTTCAAACATTTGCTCACAGTTAATCAACAGTAAACTAGAAAAAAAATCTGAATATATATTCAGAAAGAGCATAAAAGTCTGATTCTAACTGACGGCTTTTGATTCTCAACAGTTGCTAATAAGTATTCTGAAAATGAACGAACATTTTGTGGCAAGACTTTCGCGCAGTAGATTAATATCAATATACAGCATATACTATTCTAGTTTTTTCAAAATAAGCTTGTCAATAGTAGTACATTAATATTTATATACATTGCATTAGGTAGTGCCATGTTCTATGGAAAAATCATAATATTATAACGTTTTAGAAACGATATATCTAATTCTTCAAGTTAAATAGACAATTCACATTTTTTCGAGAATGACTATGTGAATTTCTATTATCCATTATAATGGGAATATCAAAAGAAAAATAGTTGGTAAAGTTTAATATTAACATCTGTTTCATGACGAAATCAAATGAAATTTATGACACATCATGCATAACAATAACAAAAAAATAACAACTAACACAGTTTAGGAGAAATCATCATTTTTTCTCTAATAATATTTTGTTTTACGTCGAAACTGTGAGCATCGGCATGTAATGTTAACGTCTGTCCATCTTTTTTTTGAACACGCAAAAATCCATACTCATCAATTCCGATCACTTTTACTGATTCATTCCATTTTTCAACAAAAACTTCTTTATTTCTAAAAATAAGATAGAGGCAAGTTATGTTTTATGACTAAATCAGATGAAATTTATGATACATCATGCATAAATCAAAAAGATTAATACATACTGATGCATCCATAAACTTTCGTAAATTCTATAAAAATGATTGATCGATTTATTAGCATTTGATTGATTATTTGTTGTTAAATCAGAGATCCATGTGTTGACAAAATTCAATGTTCGAACGATAAATTCTTCAGTTGTAAATTCATCAAGTGTCATATTTTTAGTTTTATTTATGTTATTAATAACATCATTAACACAGATTGACGGAGATGAATTATGAATGTTAACACCACAACCTTTTTCAAAAATATTAGTGGATAAAAAACATCTGCTTATATTGAAGTTCAAGTCTACTTACCGATGGTAATACTGGAATCATCTCCACTGATTGATGATGTTGCTAATATACCACCTAATTTACTCTCTTCACCGATGAAAATATCATTAGGCCATTTTATTTTCAGATTCATACTCTTTAACAAAAACAACTAATTTTTAATAATGAACACTCCATTAAAGATTCATTCATTGTTACCTTATATTCCGGAGATTTTTCAATTGCTTGTACAATAGCAACGGCCGCAATTAATTGTAACAATGACAATCGTTGGCCAAGTAGTGATTGTAATGAGATATTACAGTGAATAGTAAACATGGCACATCCATCAGGTGAAGTCCATGTATTAGAACCACGACCTAGACGAAAAGGTTTTAATCAACTAAAATACGATATAAAGTGACAAACAAAATAGCTGTTGTACCTTGACCATTAGATTGTTGACGAGAAATCACCACAGTTCCAGTTGATGGTACAATGCATCTAAAAAGAAAAGGGATAAAGTGAAGAAGGATAAAAAGGCAATGGATATACTCTATGATATTGCTCTACAAAATGAAAAAAACAAGGTGAACACTTTTATGCATTCAGGTTGTTATACAACTAGAGACCAAAGGGATTTTGAAACAAAAGGCTTCAAAAAGTAGTATGGTACAGAAAACATGTAAAGGTCGAGGCAAAACTAAGAATTTTTCATTACTCCGTTATGTATATTCAGTTGTAGACAAGGGAAATGTGGACTGTGACGATATCGAATGAAAAACGTTTATATGCTCATACATGAGCTGTTTGCGTACAATCATCAGTTTAACTTTAGATGATGACAAATGAAACAATATTAGAAATAAGCGGACAACTGCCAATGAAAAATATTCTTAGACGAAATAGATTACGTCGATATGAATATATTAAGAGGATAAAGAATAGTCGGGAAGAACCAGTGCTGCTACTAAAGATAATGTATTGTTTTCATAAAGACCTCAAACCACTGTCATACAGGGACGAGGAGATGATTTAGAAAAGATAGAGATTAAGAACTGACATGGAGATGTTCTGGATGAAGACTCATGATGAGTGATGATCAACAAATTCACAAAAATACGATCAGGCCATCGAGATATCGTATCAATCGTTAGACGATAGAAGGAGAGAGCTATACACCAATTGGTTTTTCAAGAAGCAAGTACTTATGCCATCGTCGCGTCAACATTTGATGGTATTTCTGCATCGACTGTTGCTGTGAACTTCTCAAATTGTAGAAAAACATTCAAGAAAGAACTAGAGTTATAATTTATAGATAAAAGCCATCAAATTATTTTGTCCGCAGTTCCATCAGGAGCGAACGCCACTGAAACGACATCAGTACAAGTGAAAGTTACTGCTTCATTACAAAAGGAATCTGACGGAAAGTATCTGTTTCTTCTACTCGGTTTGGTCAGCTAACTCTCCTACCGAAGTGTAATTCCGTCACGTTTTCTTGGCATTTTGTTTCGCATAACAATTATAAGAAACAAAATGCCAAATTACACTCCGGTAGGAGAGTTAGCTGGTCAAGCCGTACTATTACTACAAAAGAAGGGATATAGCGGATGTATATAGACATATGTACGCTTAGATCTGACCCTTACTCCTCTACCTTCCTCACTCCCCAACCTCTCAATATACATATATCTACATACGTAAGGGTATACATATACCTATACACATTGACTATATCCCTTGTTTTTATATCCCTGAACTTGTCAGTTTCTTTTATTATTGAACTTGTAACGAGCACAAGTTTAACAGAAAGTCGATGTAAAACAAATGGAGTAAATAGTTGGCAATGTACACCACAATCGTAACACGAATCTCAAAAAATCTGAGAGTATCCGTTGTACTGAATAAGAATTTTTTTCCCAAACCGACTTCAGATGGATTCAGAGGAAGCAATTCGACGATCAACTTCGACAGACACTTCTTACAATGACCGACGGAAGTGAACTGAATGAAACTCTCAAATATGTTTACTTTTATTTTAGTTTTTCTATTATAACTTCTTTTTTTGACGTTTATTCCACCAGAATCGGTACGTGTCTTTACAAGGGAGAAAACAAATATTTCCTACCGGAATAAAGTTTAGCCCAGTTTTTAAAAAATGATCGTTTCAAGATTAACTAAATTTTACCATTTTTGAAATCATAGATAAGAATGTTTTGAGCCTGACACAGCAATTTAAACTTATATGAAGTAAAAGTAGTAAGGTCTCTATGTGGCAACATCGTGTATATAAAATACCACGTAAGTTTTAAACTTTCAAACTTTTCTTAAAACCAAATGTACTTTTTGAATATACGACGCAAAAGGACGTAAGAAACTAAGCAGAATGAGTTTCTTTAACCGTCTTTCATGAGCTCTGCGAGGGTTTTTTCGAAACGGTTTCCAAAGCTCCAATCTTTGAGCTCAAAAATCTATAAAATTCTGTCTCGCTCTTCGCTGACCAGAAAGCCCACATTTTTCTAGTCAAAATAAAGCGTGTCCGATAATTTCTCGAGGTGATTTAGCCTTGATATGTCTTTTTTTCTCAATTTTTCTTAAAAAGATAGTAGAGAATATTTGTTTTTTTAATCATAGTTGATGAAATTTATAGCCTCCATACAGGACACTGAAGGCTATCTGTATCACTTACTAGCTGTCCCTGGAGAACGCTGTGTTAGGAAGGAAATCTAAAAAACAAAGTAAGTTAAACTTTTTTTCTTCACTTTATGTACTGAATTGTCTGATCAGATCAATTTTAACCTCATCGATTGAGTTTAAACTTCATCAATTTCTGAGTTAATTAATAAAAAGTACTGTACTGAATTAATTTGTCATTTTTCTCATTTAGTCTTTCAAGAGAATGTTTCTAATCATTGTAAAAACAGTTCATATTTTTAACATTATATACATCGTGTCAATTATTTCTAAATTATTTTACTAGACATATAAAATGATTTTAGTCTCAACGCCTTAGAATCAATATTTTTTTATTCTAATATTTTATAATCAAAACAATTTATTTAACTAATTTATTTAATATTTGATAAAGGTGGTACTTTTTTCATTACCTCTTTTAAATGATATTTATATCAATCCATAAATAATAACAATTTTATCTATAAATGTCACGGTCTTTTACTCCTGTTGAGTAAAAATAATAAAATACGAAATAATAGATGGTCCTTGTCGTCGACATATCATGTCACACAATTGTCAAATAGATTTTAACACATTTTTATTCATTTTTATTTTCTATATTTTCTTATGTTTATTGATACTGATCCTGTTGAATAAAAACTGATCGATTCAATATATTGGTCACCAAATTTTTGAAGTTAATCAAAAAAATATCAAATATGTCAGAGAATTCTATACTTAAAGATTTATTAAAGTTAGATTCTCACAGATAATGATTATTAACGTTTTTATTTAAAGATCAATTTTTCGACTAACTGTCAAGAGTCCAATCAGACTTCTCTCTGTCTCTCTCATCGACGCTATTTGAATATATCGCTAAGTTATGCTAAGTATCCAGACTTATTTTTTAAAATGTATTCTATAAAAAAAAAATTGAACAAAAAAAAGAAACGAAACATTGAACATGGCAAGTATAAAATGAAAACATCAATAAAAAAAGAAAACTGAGACTGTTCATATTTATGCAATTTTGAGGAAACATTAGACGAACAATAATAATAACAGCAGAATGAGAGAAATTTGAGAGAAAAACTTGAGAGCAAAAAAAATAGTGGTTCGCTGCGATATAAAATTGTCGCTCACTCAAACACGCACACACACACAATAGAAAGCTAAGACTACGTAAACGACCTATCATTATATCTGCAGTAGTATAACATTCGAGTTTATGTGCTAACAGGTAATAATTTATCTTTTCCATACTGTTGTGTGGGTACTGTTGTTGGTATTTTCCAAAAACGTTCAGCTTCTTCAATTGTTTTATTTTTTGTTTCGGGCATTTTAACATATAAAAATGCCAAATGTAATAGAACCAAGACAAAAAATATAAGAAATACATAGCCACCTAATATTGAATTTAATGCTGGAAAAAATAATGATAATAAAATATTTCCAAGATAATTAGCCACTAATCCTAATGCTTGAACACTGTCACGTGCCTCTGGACGACATACTTCGGATGAATAGATAAATGGTATTGGACCAAGACCAACAGCAAAGCAAACAACAAATATAAGAACAAAAATGACACTAAACCATCCCAATGTTGGATTATTTATTCGTTCATTGACTTCAACCAAAGCTGTTAAAATTCCAAATACAAGTACCATAACACCCATTGGATAGATAATCAATGCACGACGACCAACTTTTTCAATTAATGATAATGCAACAATAGTAGCCAAGACGTTAATAATACCTGTACCGATATTAGCATAGGGAATTAAGTCCTTTTTAATACCAGCTTTTTCAAACATTTTTGATGAATAAAAAAAGACTGCATTGATACCGGACAATGCTTGCGCCATTTGTAATACGATAGTGGTTAACATTGGCCAACGATAACGTGCTGTTGTTAGAACAGCGGGTATTGATAATGATTCTGTACCTCCTTCTTGTCGGGCTTGATAATGAATATTATCCAAATCACCACGAACATCTTCAGTATTACGCAATTTTTTTAAATCAATTTCTGCTTGTTTTTCATCATTATATTTTCGTATTAATTGTGTTGGTGAATTCGGTACGAGCAACATAAGAACAGTAGAAATTAAGGGTAAAACAAAGACAATTGCCAAACCCCAGCCCCAATGTTTACATGTTCCAGCGATAAACGGTAAACCAACAACTTGTGCTATTAAAATGCCAATAGTTAATGCCAACTGAAAGGATGAACCAGCTGCACCACGCACACGTTGTGAGGAAATTTCACCAATATACGGTGGTACAATAACACAAGCCATTCCTCCTTGATAGCCCATTAATAAACGTGATACGTAAAATAACCATGGTTTTTGTAAATAGTATGATAATAGAACACATAAGGATGATGCAAAACAAAATGCAAAATTGGCATAAACAGTTTTTTTACGATTCATACAATTTGGCCAAAATGGACCGGTTACTGCACCAATAAATGCTCCAATTAAAAATACTGTTTGTGGTATACCTTTAATTAATTCTAATACAAAATTAAATTTCTCTTTAACTACTTTAACTGCTGTCTCTGTTGTTTCTGATACGGCTGGTCTATCACCAGAATCAACTGCCATAGTAAGAATAACTACTGAATCATTGTGGTGATGATGTCCAGCGTGTAGAAGACGTTCATCGTTTAGACGCTTTAATTCATTTCGGTCTCGTTCAGCGACACATGGGTCGGTACCATTCAAAAAATCTTCGGTATATGTGTTATATTGATTCGGTGCACCAAGACCCCAACCGAAGACGAATGCTGTTGACATTGTTAATATAATACATGATATTAATAACCATGGTGTACAACCTTTCTGTGTTGAATTGTTTCCTGTTGATTCTGCACCAGTTATAAATGGTTTATGTGATGGATCCTCAGCCATTTTAAAAACGTATAAATTTTATTTAAATAATAATTAGATAAATTTAATCAACTGAAATTGAAAAGTGAAAACAATATTTATTCATTCAAAATTTTTCTATACTCATACACATAACTAAACAAATTATTCTTGATCATTAGGAACTCTCTTTAAAACTTTCGTATAAACAGGTAGACTTCCAAACTAGTTGACGATCTTTTAAATTTTCTATTAAAAAGATTTCTATTCAATGTATATTTGCTGCAGTGATGTAAGCAAAATACCATTTAATAGAAAAGATAAGAAAAACTGCGAAGATAAAAATTCTAACTCTTACTTTAGCGTATGATGAAATAATCTGTATAATGTTTCTAATTGAAGATTCTATATATTCAAATAAAAACAAAAATATGTAGGAAGTAAAAATATTTTCAAAACCGAAAAAAATTTTATCATTAGATAGAAAATTTTTCAAGAAAACATTATAACTATTTAATGAGAAACATATTTTCTGTATCCATGCAAATATATTTAGCACTATAGGATAACATTTTTCAAATTAAATTTTTCGTTAGAATAAGAAAGAATCTGAAAAATATGGGTATTGAATATTTTTAGGACAAACATATTTTGTTCTGACAAGTAAAAAAAAAAACAAAAATCAGACGCAGCAGTATGTTGCCAATTTGTAATACTCTTTTATTTAGAAGTAAAAAGAAAAGAATAGTCAAGTTCGAAATAAGAAGACGAAGAAGAAGAAGAAGAAGAAGAGGAAGAAGCAATACTTTGATGGCATCAGATAAGTTAAAATAGTCGCGAACACATGGATGGATTTGAAAACTATTACATGATATATCTCTATTCTTTCATATAAAATTTAACTTACAATAATTTATTTTTTATTGACCTTGTCATCATACGCGAAGTTGAAAGGAAAAGTATATGAGGTAATATTTTTCAACCGCTAAACCACACATAAATAAGAGTAGAGAGAGAGAGAGAAAGAGGGACAAAAAGAGGAAGAGAGAAATGTTTCCAATGCTATTTTCAAATCACCGATGGTATACGATGTGTAGGCAATTAAGAGAACTTTCATATTGTGTCTACAAAATTTTTAACATAGTACATTTCGTAGTATACAAAAAGGGATTGAACAATAGATTCGTCAAAATTTAAGACCTTGACATGAATCTATAAACTAATTTCTATTAATCAGATGTTGTCGAGTAAGTCTGCGATTAAATTAATATCGCGATATGCATACAAGATAAGAAAATTTTAAAATGACACATCTAACATCTTACTAATATATGATCTTTTTTTTTTGCTCAAAAAAGAAAAAAATTCAATAAATTGTTTTGATTTTCGTCTTTTTTTTCTAAATTTAAAAAGATAATTTTGTATCCAAAAACAACTTAAAGATCTCGAAGGACGTAATAAAAACAATATCTGATAAAAAAAAGAAAATCCTCTCTTATCTCTGTCGATCATTCATAGCACTAATCGATTTAGAACTATAAAGTTCTAAATTCATATTCATTTGTAGCCTCATTATTCGGACAGTTAATTACATCAAAACTTCACTCTATTAAATAAATAAACAAACAACAAAATGGATCTTACCGAAAACTGTACACGTTATATTTTTTGTTCTTGTTACCTCTTTGTTTAAAGTACGTATGTATAAATGTATGTATAAGTTGTTTTATGCAATCTATTGTATCGTTGAAACTATATAACACGATTCCTTATAAAATATGTGTCTATATTCTTGCGATGTCGAGAGAAAAGAGAGAAAAAAAATCCTATTGAATGACTTTATTCGCTTTCTTTTTTTTGCTATATAGATGATCGTTTCTCGAACTGTATCTACAGAACCCAACTAGACTATCACCACAACTATCGTACAAAAATTTATATTTCTTTTTCTTCTTCGTTTTTTCTATTTTTTCTTCTTTTTTATGGTATTGCTCTACTCTGCGGCCTTACGACCTCTTTTAGATTTTTAAGTATTATATAGAAGCCGGAGATGAACAACAAAAGCGAAAGAAAAAAAAAAGAACCGTTTTTCAGCAGACAAGAAAATAGTCTTTTTAGAATGTGGAATTTTGAGCATAATTATTTATGAAAATGTGATGCAATTTTGTTTAAATGGCATAAGAAGAAAGAAAATCGAAGTTGTTGTTTTTTATTCGACAAAAAAAACTGATTTATTTACAATTCTCATTCTTCCTGATTTTTATCTGTATTTTAAAAAAAATTCTAACAAACAATTATTTAATTACAATTTAAAATTATAAACTTTTTTTAATTCTTCTAGTTAGATACGATATGGTTTAATTATGATAGATGAAAAGTCATGTGGTAAACGACGAAAGAAGAGAATTTATGCACTTGTCAATAAATCGACATGAAAAATATACAAAAGAAAAGAACGCACATCTGTTAGAAAACATTCGTTAAAATGAATGAATATTTTCAAAAAAAAAGGTTTCAATTCTTCACTTTTGAAAAGTGAAGAATATGGAGCGCCAGAAAATTTGAGTAGACAGATGTCGAGAGATTGTCATTAAACAGGCGGATAAAGGCCAAGGAATTGTTGTAATGAATAAGACTTTCTATGAGGAGAAAGTCCATATGCTTTTGAATGACACACGAAATTACACAAGAGTTATAAAAAATCCTATGTAAAAAACATCTAACGCCGTGAAAGAAAAAATTAATCAGCTCATTACACAGAAACATATTCCATCTAGATTCGCATGCTACATTCAACATAGAGGTTTAACTAGATTATCGAGCTTTTATACATCTCCAAAAATAAGTAAAACGGGTTGTTCGGGTAGACCAATAGTATCAGGAATTGCTCATGATACAGAGAAAGCATCACATTTTCTATGTCAAACTCTATAACCTTTCATTGACGGTTCATTGAGATTTATTAAGAAGAAATATCATTACGATTTCTATAGACTTTTGAATAGCACCGAGCAATTGTTGATTGAGAGTGAACCTTTGAATGATGAAATTTGTAGTGAAGGACTCTCGTTAGGATTTGTTATCACAGATATAGAGTCTCGATATACTAATATCTCCATTGACGAAGGAGCAGCGAGAGTGTCGAACTTTATTTTCGAAAAGGAAACGATTTTCGACATATCCCTCACTCACCATGGACTTGTCCAGTTACTCAAAATAGCATTGAATAATAATATCTTCCACTTTGTACATACTACCCTGACATATAGAGTAAAACGAATCTGCAATGATGATATCGAAAAATGGCATAAATATGCCAATATTATTCACCGTTTAAAAAATGGGATTATCCGACCAAAGAGATACTGTCAAAAATTCAAAAAGTTGATAAATTAGACAGATCGAATATGTTAAAAGAGAAAAAGTTCTTTGATAACGACAATGATTTGGAACGAAATATACCACAAGGGGATACTTTTATTCACATATCATAAACAACTTAACCTGATAAAACAGATCTTTTGAAAATATTCAGCTCTAAATATTGACTCATCTAAATACGTCTTTGCGTACAAATCTACGCCGCATGCTCGTACATCCGAATCATTTGGGAAATCTTGAGATGACTCACTCCGGGGGTTTAGGAAATGCTCAAGAAAGTACTACTAGCTTTAATCTTGAACCAGAGCGAAATCGAGAGTATAAATTTCCATTATATTATTCTGAAATTTAAACACAAAATCAACTTACCAATTAACTACCAAAACACAAAATCAATCCTCGCACAAAGCTCGGATCAAACACACGAACTTCCTAACATCAAGTTTTCTTCTGCAGTTTAAGTCAGGATAATCGCACGAATCTCTCTACCATATCAAGAACCAACATAAAACTCAACCAAACTCTGAGTTAAGATAAACGTAATGCTGGCTATTATATTCAGTGCAAACGTGAATATACCGGTGAAACAGGAACATCTGCTCCAGAACATTTCTTTAGACGTACACCCCAGATTAGGATTCGATAAACCACAACAGTAGGGATACATTTTAGCCAGAATAACCACTCCATTAGGAATGTCATGATTTTTACCATTCGGGACAAGTTACCTCAATAAGGACCATAGAAAAGTAAGAGAATCATACTGGATAAAGTTAGTTAACCGTACTTTGAACATTAAGCTTCGATAAACTTCAATTTAATTTTATACAATCATTAATAATTTGTCATTCTCACACTAATTTAATTTAACTTCACTTTTACTAAAATTTATTTGATGTTTTAAATTTAAATTAAAATAAATTTATTTCATAAATAATAGTAATTCGAGCAATATCATTCTTATAAGACGGGAGCTATTATCTATTTTTCATTGAAAATAATTAATAATAATGTTGTCATGGTGATGGTGATTTTATCACCAAGACAGATAATTTGAATCCGTTTATAGTCCTAACATTACATTCATGCTATGGCTATGATCGTAACGACTATGTATATGCGCCCAAGATAAACACACATCTATGTACACACACACACACACACATACACACAGTTAGATAATTGTCCTTGATATTAGAAACAAAATATCTTTATGTGTATACGCATTGAGATCATTACAATCTTTTTTTCTATCCAGAAAACAAAAAATAATTCATATGTATTACATACACATCTAATAATGTATATACATACGTTTTTTTTGATATTTCTGCAAATAAGAAACGAACAATCATTGGTTTACACAAGATCATTAATTTTATTTATACTAAGGACAAACATACAATCGATCAATTTTACTTTTGATTCACAAATACAAGGTTTCTAAGCAATTTTGAAGAAGAAAAAAAATTTGAATTTTTTCTTTTAAAGTTAGAATATAAATCACCACTTTTTGATGATTAAGGTGCGCAAAAACTAAGACCAGTTATGCTACGTTCATCATTTATTTTGTTTCATATAGAAATTTTCAATTTATTAACTTAAATAATCTTTAGCTACAAACTTTATATATAAAAAAACTCACAAACCAATTACTATTC